CCGGGCCACAGCTCAGGCGCAAAAACCGTGGTGTCGGGAGACTGCCATGCACAAAACAGCCGCAACTGCATGCTTGGAGGAGCTTTCGGGCTGGGTTTTCTAATTTATTGCTGGCATTTCACAATTGCTTGTGAGCTCACATGTTCTGTTGCCGCACCAAGGCTGTGGGAATACGATGATGGCCACGTGTTTCTTCGGCATCGCGCACCTCGGACGGCCTCTCGATGAGGCCACGAGTAGAGGGAACCATGCTTGGCACATGTCCAAGACAATCCTGTATTGTGGCATGGTGGCACGGCTTCGCACACTTGCACATTTCCTGAGTTTCAGATGGTTCTTGGATGTGGGCATTGTGTCCGAGGAAGGTCCCTCGTCCGTGCCACTTCCCTGCAACTGATGGCTTCTCTCGTGCCGGGCTTTAGCAGCCTCCTCCCTCTTCCTGTCGACAGCGCCGTTCGGAGATGCACGGACGGCATGTCTGATTTCGGGTGGCCGCTGCGAAAGCACTTTGCGCCGAAAGCTCGTGGATGCGGAATATGTCGGGCTGCACCTCGTGATGCATACCCTACCGCTAACTTACTTGTAAGATTAGCTGGCTTGGCTGCTTACTCGCACGGGCTCCCTGACAGGGTTTCGGGAATTCTTGTAAACGGCGTGGTTTCGGTCTTTCGGCTCCCTATCCATCTCGACTCGTGCATTGTTCCTTGCTTTTGGATACGGAGTTCGCTTGAATCCTAAATTGACATGTCGCTCTTGTAACCTTGTACATTTTTCGACCTTGTATACGGCTCACAGCGCACATTCTCATTTCAGACCATGTCGTGACAGCGGCCGAAAGGGAGGAGTCGCCATACCGAACTTCGCAGAAGCGGCGTCACATGGAAAATTCGAAAATCAGAGCCCATGCAGAAAGCACGGAAGCAAGGACGCCAGCAAGCGGAAGAGATGCCAGCCTCGTCTGGCGTCTGCCCGGCACAGCAAGGCATCTCCGAGATGATCTGCCCCATCCTACAGCAGCCCAGATTGAACGACGCGAAGCGCCAGACTTTACCGATGCAACTGCCGGGAACCTGCTGTTTTCAGATGCGTTGCCCAAGCTCGGAGCCCAAAGATCCTTTTGAAGAATGGGATTCCTGACCTTGGAAGTGCCTGGGCTGAAACCTTTAGGCAGAACCACTGCCGCGCCAACAGACTGCGCCCGGCCCAGCCTGCAACGTTGGCACAAGCTCAGCTTTGGCCTGAGCAGCAGATACACGTGGTTCCTCTGCTGAGCTGCTGAAGTATGACTGATCCGATGTGCAGGCTCGAAGTTGGGAAATACAGGTGTTTTTTGGAGTCGCCATGCTTTTCAAGACAATAGCTTTTCAGTGATGAGGTACGAGCGCGAAACTCCACTTGGAATTCTTTCGGACGAACACTGCCAAATGATTTCGGAGCTACAGGGCCGGCGTGAAGGCTGAGTCCCTAAAGTCTCTACGGCTCTACCTCCACATTCTGCAGTAGCCCTGTAGTCCTGAAGCTCCAGGTCGAATCCCTTTACAAACCCGAAAGCAACTCTTTGAACGGGCAGACAACCAAACAAAAAAAAACCAAAACCCTCCGGTTCAAATGCAGAAACTTGGTGCATTGGCCTGTTTCTTGCCATATGAATACTCTGGACTACGTTTGAAGCGCTAAACCGCTCACCGCACCCCCAGGTGCCCCGGCTTCGCGAGGACTTCGCCTCGTTCTACAAGTCTGCAAGTCCGAAGCTCCGAGCCGAAACGCGACGAAGGTGAAGCTCTGGATGCGGCGGAAGGTTGCGGATCTTTGCCTAAAACCGTCGCTGGATCAGGGCCTGCAACACGGGTATCCGATCAGTTCTGGTTTCAGGATGCCCCGTGCACTAATTTAGGCGGCGCTTTGCTGGCTCCTGGAAGAGCTTGGGCGGACGTTGCTGGTTTGGGATGTTGGATCGTCACGTAGGGCCTTCTAAACTGGTGGCTGGTACAGGGCATGCACTCTGTCCAGAAAGCTTGCTGCCGAAAGCCTGGCAGCATGCCCCCCCCTCCGCAACACATGTAACCTCCTGAAGCCAAGCCAGAGGTTTGGGTGCAACCTGGCATACGTGCAACTCGAACTCTGCCAAGTATAAACCCAACATGGGAAATGCAGCACCCAGGACTTCTGATAAAACGAAACCACAAAATGCGTTTGTAACCCATGTGAACTAAGCCTCCAGACTTCCGGACAACTTTGGGACCCGGCAGTTTGAGAAAGCCACTCTTCATCTTGTCCTTCTGAGAGGCTTGCTTCATGCATTGGCTGCTCGAGCAAGCTCACCTTCCAAGCTTACAGTCCAAGAACATGAACCGGACGATCTTTGCTAAAGTATCTACACTGCTAACTTCGTCCGTCCTACCTGTTTGCAGTTCGTCTTGAAACTGAAAGGGATCCAGCGCCGTGTGCACGAGCTCGGTTGCCTGGTGCCCTGTGAATGGGAAGGGGCGAGTTTTGAACTGCCAAGACCAAGTTTTTGTCCCTCGTAGCTTTGAAGCACTTGGTGTCCCCCAAAGTCATGTTCTGCCGTCGTCGGTCCTTGTCGCCTAACGCGTAGTAGCAAAGGATCAAGTTGAAACCTGTGCTAGGGGTGCGATGACGGCGCTTCGATTTTCAAGGCTTCGGGTATTCAGTTTGAGACTGGTAGCAGGGAGCCGCAGGCTCCTAATGTATGGAACTCGGGATCCTTCGAGTTGTAATCTGAAGTTGCAGATTTGGCAAAAGGACACACAGCCCTGCCAGGTGGTATGTGACAGCCATCCGACAATGTTGCGTTCTTGAGCCTAAGGGCCAACGATCTTCTACTGCTGCTACCGTTAAACTCATGGATGTATGGTGCCCGGCAAGAGAATGCCGCAAACACTAGGTTGGAGCGTGAGAGTATTTATCGGCCAATGTTTCAATCACAGGGAAAGTTTCGCTGGTCTGCGGCCCCAAGCTATCAACGGAACCTGGTGCCCATTGCCATCTACTTCTTCACGCATGCGATGTGAACTTTTTGCGATCAATTGAAATCTTTCAAATCATGGCGCCAATTTGAGAGCCACTAATTCACTAAGTCTTTCGTAACTTTGAAGACTTTGAGGTCCCGCATCATGCGATTCAACGTGGCCTGGGCGATGGACTCTGAAGCTCACATTCCGCGAGGTGCCGTCTCGCAGCTTTGACTTTAATAATAATAATAACAACAACAATAATAATAACAATAATCAAAATAGTAGTAATAATATCATGTCTGTGCCATCAACCAGGCTGCACCTGAGAAGTTGGAGTATCTCTTCTTGCCGAGACGCACTGAGGGCCAGCCAGCTTTGCTAAAACTTTCCACTTCGCAGCTCCAACTCCAAGCTCCGAATTTGGTGAAGCCAAGTTCATTGCAAACGGGACGGAAGGAACAACAGCTCCAGCTTGCCCAAGCCCTTGATCCAAGAAACTTCATTTCGCAACATTCTGCGCCAAACCTAAGACAAAGCCACAAAGCGCCCAAGTCTGAACATGCTGCAGCCTGACTTTCTGGGGCCCTGAACCCGTCATGAAATCCAGGTGCTGTGCACCGTGCATCAGCAGGTTCTCATACCTGGACACATTGGCTGTCAGGTTTTTCGTTGGAGGCTGTAGCACAAACAATGTGAGCGGATTCAGAGCATGTACAAATTGAGGGATTGAAGCTTCTGCGGCATGGGCATCATCTTGGCAAGGACTCGAGTAAGGATTCGTCGGGTGGTTTCAAAAGCTGTGAATCAGTCAGGACATTCCCTTCAAACGTTATCAAATCGGCCACCGGTTCACTCTGGAAAAACGTCTTGACAACGAGAAGGGCCGTAAACCCTTGTAACTTCTGTTGCTTGGAACGCCTTGTTTCTGGCTCTGAATTGAGGGACTGGCGAGTCGATGGCATCCGGAAACTGGTGCATCTTGAAGAAGGCATGGCCTCAAGCTTGTAGCTCATGCTTCAGCTCCAAAATAGAACCACAAAACAGAAAGGGGCTCGACGACTCTAGCTGAAGCTATGTCAGGGCTTGGGATGGACAAGGGCAACCAAAGCTGCATTTGGAACGCCAGACTGTACCATACGCTGCTCCCTGCAAGCTCTGACGCCAGCTCAAGAGAACGAACCCGAGGTTCGAAAAAGGAATAACATGGAGCCACCAGCTGCATCTTACTTTAGGGTTCAAAAACGATCAACGGCGTGCATTGAGCAGCCTCAATCACAAAGTATGCCGTAAAACTCCGATGCATGCGTGCATGTGATTGCGGAAGTGTACTGAGGTACGGAGGATGAAGTTGCTAGAGCAGAAAATCCCAGAGGAGTGTACTCGCGTCCTGAGCAAGCCTTGATTGTAATGGTTTTTATACGGTTTTAAGCATCGGGAGACTGTCCAGGCCTTAAAACCTGTAAACCTCTAAAGCCCGGTCCAGGCTCTCGCGCTTCCTGGACTGAGTGCCAGGCCTATGTTTCGCATGATCTTGAAGCGAATGGCCTGTTTGCAGACAGTTGTAACCTCCAAGCCCCAATCACGAAACGACCGTACGAGCATCAGCTGCATGTCAATCGGGGGTTCAAACGATTTCTCGCCATGATTCTGTGATATTCTGTGCTCCGGTTTCACAAGACTTCCATATCACACTACGTGTTGTTATGAATGCGAAGTCGGAGCCGAGAAGATGGTTGAAAGTTGTGATGAAGTGCCACTTGCGACCGACTTGTGCAGGGCGCGACACCTCGCCTCTTGAAGCTTCAACATGTGGCAACTCTGACTGGGGCTGAGAATTTTCGGGATTCCCATGCGCAGATCCCAAGAAACGAGTCCGGTGCAACATCTGCGACTTTGCAGTCGCCGGTAATTCTCTTCCTCATTCATTCACCCATTCAATGTGGATGTCAGTTCTTGTGACTCGTGAGAAGTATTGGACTGATCCGCTGTTGCTCTGGTCTCTGCACTGCTCTTGCTCTTGGCAGCCTGCACGTTGTTCGGGATTTGGTCTAGAGCCATCCGGTACCTTAGCGGCAGCGGCCAATGCTTGGGCTTCGCGGCTTGGCTTTCTGGTCCTTGTCGAAGGCTTGAACGCCGACCAACCAGCCCATTCTGCGCGTTCCGAGAATCTACGCAGGGAGAATCTTTGCGGAGGGACAAGGCAGCCTGCCAGCAGGATGACCAAACAAATAAATTGCAGGGCCAGTCGTGACGCTGAAGGTCTACATGCAGGACAAGAGTGTCTGTGATCAGTGATCAGTGTGTGAAGTCAAGGTACCTGAAGCTGATGTCGTGAGAAAACATATATCTATATCTATATGCATAGCTATATGCACATATTAACACGCGAAATGAAAGACAACAAACACAGCACGCTTGAGGCTCGGGTGTTGCCGAATCACCGAATGGATTCATGTGGAATCTGGAAACTCGCTTCTTACTTCAACTTACCCATTCCTCAAGTTCACATGAGCGGATACCCGGAAGGTATTCAATTGTCATTGTGCCATACAGAGTGCTGTGACGTCATATGCTTACAAAGCCTGAAGCTAGTGGGGGATTGCCTGTAGCATGAACATTTTCAAATCGCTGCCGTTCATGTCCGCGCGTTGCAGGGCAGCGCCTTTCTCAACAAGATTGTAAAAGAAATCCAAGGTTGGCACCGACGCTCGTCGCAGTGATTTAGTGTAGCTTACGTTGGTTCTCTTCCAATACCGGAGCTGCACAGGTCACATGGTGCCGGCAGAAACACACGAATGACGAAACGCTTGATCCTACATTGGGCCCTTAATCCCAACCTACTCACCGCCGACAACCCCAAACATACTGAGGCTGCCACATCTTGATTGCAGCTGTCCACTTCTCCTGCTTGAAGTAGATGTTGCCCATGTTCACTCGGAATCGGCCGCTGAACGGATACTGCTTGTTCTTGACGATCTGTGTATAGATCGTCAGCGCCTCAAGCCGAGCGGCCGAGTGAAACGTCTTTCGGGGGCATGGGGGCCACGTTTTGGATACTGTAGATTGCTTGGATCTTAGATCTCTGCAACTCCTAGGCTTTAAGGGAGCTCCGTTGCATCGTGATCACGACAAGACGGTTGCGAAAACAAATTGATTCGTCTGCCCCTTTGTTCGACCGTGTATGGTTGCTTTTGTCTGGAAGGATGGAGAGCTTCAGCACTGAGAGAAGATGCAAAATCCAAACGTTCAAGACTCTGCTTCATGAGCAGCAGGGTTCGGTATCAACGTGAACCAGAGCTTGGGGATTTGGTCGAGGCTTAAGGAGTGCCGGGGCTGCCAGGCGGGCAATGGCTAAGGTGGACGTATGTCAACAACATGCTGCAACATGCTCGACACCTCGAGCCTACATGAGACCTTCAAGAATCCCTTGCCTCGTTGTCGTTGTCGTTCGCCTGGTGCTGGATGGCCAGGTTCAGGCAAACGGCATAGGTGAGGTCCACCTGAGAGTGTAAGCCCCAGGCGAACAACTCTCTAGACGCTAGAGGCTCCGGTTTGGGGCCGGGTGCTTTTCGGCACAGAGTTAAGGAGTCGTGAACGGAAGGGGTCCTTGTCGAAACCAAACGGGCGATCCTCAGCATGACCAAGGCAGCTGTAGCTGTTCGCCAACCGAACATGGCAAGATCGCAACGATAACCTCGCAAGCCCAGCCAGGGCCGTGGCCGCTTGGTGGCCCTTGGTCCGATGCTCTGCCGCTCGGCTCCACTCAGGCTGCGACATTGAGCTGATCCAGCAAGTTTTGCTGCTCGCGCAATCTACAAAGTTGCCTCTCCTTCAGGGGCCGATGCTGGGTTTCTGCAAGGCTCAAATTTTGGTTTCATGGGGGGGATACAGGGCTTCAGTAGCATCAGTGCCTCCAAATCTTAGGATCTCGAAAGGCCACGGCCGGCAGGCTTTGGTGCACTAGTCTGCTCTTGCACCAGAAGGTTGTAGGCAGAAATTGCCATGAATGAACGGTTGCTCCCCAAGTGGGCGATTTACAGCTGTCTTTGGGCAGCCGGTCGGGTGCAGATGCTGCAGGTTTCAGGCTCCTGTTGGAATGCTTGACTTGTGAACGATCCGGGAAAGCAAACCTTTTGATACTCAAGCGCAACTCCATACGTACCTTCACTGTACCAGAAACGGTGAGCTCAGCACGCTTTTGCCTCACTGCGAAGTCATTGTGCGAAACCCGCTAGGTATGACCGCAGGATCCCCGCTGGCCTTTTTGCCGGCCTCTTTTCCTTTCTCTAATGCTTCGCGCCTGAGTCGGCAGGGTTGGCAGCAGAGGCGGAGGCGGAGCATGGGTAGATGTCGGGTACTCGAACGGGCCTGCAGTGCTGCTTCCAGTGGTACTTCCAGCATGCAACTCGAAGCAAACTCACAACACACATTCAGCCGATCGTCCGCGACCCTTTGCCCTGGCATGTTATACTCTGCTGCAACTGCAACCCATTGTGGGATCCCATAGTGCCACTGCGACTAACCTACCCCCAAAGCCACCCATAGTGCCGAACTCTGTGGCGGACCACTGATGATTTCTCCGACACTCCTGTAGCCCACCACCCAAAAAATCCTGGAACCAGGAGCCCAAGGCTGAGAACAAGGCAGATTCCCACGTTCTCGGGTTATCGCGCTCTCTTCGACCAACCTGCGTCTCAGCAGAAAGCGTGTGGAGTTCAGAAAACAGCTTGAGGGCAGCTTACAGCCTCTGTGGAATCTGAAAAGTTCAAGGCCATCAGCGTAATCCTTTGCGACATTCCGGGGACTATGTTGGGTACAGATATGCAGAAACTGAAACACGAAAGACCCGCAGTGTACGGCTGTGGCTGCAGAGCTCAAGCAAGAAATCCAGCCTATGGATTTCTTTCTCCATTTCCCGGAGCTTTTCCTCCGGAGACAGCTCAGTCCTCGGAGTTAGGCTGGAGATTTTCCGGATGCTTTGCTTGGGCTGTACTGGCCACTGTCCAGGGCATGCTCCAGGTTTGAATTCTGGCGAGTTCGGGCTCGACAAAGTCTGTGCGCATGAAGCTTGCCAGGAATGCCCATCTCGTGTCGTCTTCGGCGTGGGGTGACAGGATACAGTAAACGGTTTGCAATCCTCGTAGTTCCGGAGGCCTCACCGGTCCCGAGAGAGATCATCACAGGAGGCAACATCAACACACTGCGAAGGCAATGTAGGGCCTGCTGTTGCTGCAAACTGAATTGAATAGATCTCTTCCTTAAGAGTTCCTTCAACGTCAAACACAATCCCGCAAGCGAGGAAGATCAAGATGTTTGTCGTAAAAGTTGCGTGAACTCATGGGGGCCTCATCTTGTGTCCAGCCCCCCTGCACTGAGCCAAAGAAAATCGAAACACAAGAACTCCCAGACCTGTCCGAAGCCAGCACATGTCACCACTAAGTTTCCAGCTTCTTTTCCAGCGGTTTGGCTGTGCCCTTGTCCCCCTGATTTAGAGGGTCGAACACCTGCGAAAGAACATGCAGGGCTGGCAGAAAGCTCTAGCGTTTGGGGCTTGTCAGGTCTCACAGATGTATGCCGCTCACCCAAAACAAGAAATATCCCAGAACACTCCCCAGCTGCCACTTTGCCGAGCCTAGAGCCTATGCCTTTGCCTTGAGACAACCCGAGAACATCCGGTGAACCCTCAAGCATTCTGACAAGCAGGCTTCAGGATCAGAAAGCCGTGCGGTCAAGGATGAAGTTTCGTGCCATTGGAGGTCGGGCTTTGGAAATGGCCTTGCCACCTCCTGCTTTGCCGGCGGCAGTGTAACCAGCCTGAAAGGGACTGACTCAGGGCCGGCTTGGTGTGCTGGTTGGCCAGAACTCTGAGCTCCAAAGTCCACACATCCGTGTGGTCGTCCCCGTGAAGCTGGAGGTTTCGCTGCCAAATCAGGTCGCAGGCTCCGTCTACGCTTGCCGATGTAACAAGATTTGAGAACTGTCTTGACTCAACTCTGGAGGCCCTCAAACTCCCTAGAAGCCAGAAGCTTTTAACCACTTCGATACAGCTGAGAAACAAGAAGCCCTCCATAGACGCCAACGAGCACATCTAAACCTTAATTCCTATACGCCCTCTGGAAGCGGATAGGCGGAGATCACAACCTGTAACGCTTGAGCTGCCCCCATCCAAAACCTGCAAGACATAAAGGCCCTGACCGCCCGGTTGGAGGTCATTGGACGCGCCGTCTCGGTGTTGCGACCGAAGCCTCGGCTTCTCAAAGGCAGCAGCGGTTTTAAAAATATCGAAAAGAAGCGGACTTGCGCGAACCTGTACTGTTCTGAACTCCGCAGGCTGTACGACTGCACAACACATGCTAACAAGTATGTCCAGGCATGCAAGAGAAAGAGAGAGAGATAGAGGTAGAGCGAGGGACACACACAGACAGAGGCGATGTGCAAATGCGCTGTGATACAACCACAGAGCACACAGGCGACATGCATGTAAACTGTCCGAAGAGCACGTGCTATGAACCCGCAAACCCTGTCCCAAACAAAATGCCCTAATCCCTGAACGCATCTATAACCAAGCCGCACTTTCAATGTGCCCCAGCAAACCCGAACTCGAGCAAGCATTGGGAGCAACGATGAAGCCCATCAGCTTGCGTTCCGAGTGAACACGAGCAAAGTCAAGCCTTCAGAATAAGTATCTCCACAGGGGGACACTGCATATGCAGCCTCGTTTATAGGGGAGTGAACCTGGAACCCGAAGCGGACAAACCGGCGCGGAGCAGAGTGATCACAGACTGGTGGCGGTAAGCTGCGACCTATACACGGCCGAAGCGATTGCGGCCACCTTCAGGTTCGCTGAACTCCCCTGAAGTTCTGTCCGGACGAGTAACGGTCCAAACCAAGCCCCAACGGCAAAGGCTGCTATTGGCAAGCCCTTGCGCTTGCCCTCGATACTACCGCGCTCGAAACACATGTGGGGTGGGCAGGGCACGACACAACGGCAGTGAATCAGCAAGGCACATGCTCATTGCTGAACGCTCGGCACAAGATGATCTACAGCCGAACTCATAAGGAAAGAAAGCTCTGGCCAACAGGTTTTGCCTCTCGCGGCTAGCGGCTAGCAGTGATACCGCACCCGTCAGCACCGTCAAATCGAGATATGAAGAAGCTTCTAGGAGTGGAGGTGCTTTTGGGACGGCGTGCTTGTAAAGATTGTGAAATTCCGTCTTGAGGGCCTTCCCAATGTTCTGGCGAGCAGGCCCGATCTGCTTTGCAATTGGCGGGCAGCTAGTCTTGTATCTTCCTGTCAGTTAACACTGAGTTAGATAACATTACTTTCAGCTACAAAAAACCACATTTGTTGATTTTCTGCATCAAAGAAGCAAAAAACCTAATTTTCCTGCTCTGAATGTTGGGAGGGCAGAAAATGCTGGTTTTTGCAGCATCTCGACAGTGTTAACTGTAGTGTTAACTCAGTGTTAACTGTGGAAAGCATAGACATGGCTTGTGTGCCATGTTGCCGCTAGACATTTGGCCGAACCACCCAGAATTGTTCCCCTAACAGGCAGGGATCCTGTCGTAGCACCGAGTATGGGGGGGTGGGGCGTATCGGCAAGCTCTGCATTCAGCCGCTGAGATTCCAAACATATGGCAAGAAAAAACGCGGAGACCTCAAATCGGAAGCTACTCGAATAAAACCTGCTTAGGTCGGCACCGTTCGCTCTACTTTGTGGCATCGCGGATGCTCTGCCGCCTAGCCATCAAAGGCTCGCGACGAAGTTCCCAAACAGTGGCTTCGAAAGGATTCTACCAACGGCCGGATGTGCCGGAGAGTTGCGCTACAACCGAAGCGAGAGAAGCGAAGTGTGGTTCGACTTTGCTCAGACCTGCTGCTTTACCTGCTCAGAGCTCATCACTCGCCAATGGCTAGATCGACACTGCAAGGGCTTTGAGGCTCATGGGCCGTTTCTGGGACCGCAGGAGCAAGTCGTTTCTTGCTGTATATTGAGGAAGGGATTCAGCTTGTCAGGTAGACTTTGGGCACAGGGCTTAGGACTCCGGCTGCACCTTCAGCATCAACGATTTGCGGCGAGGAATCGGGCTTCGGACGTCGGGCTTTGGTGGGCTTCGTAACAGGATTTTCAGGAGCCAAATTTTCGTATAACCTCATCAGGAGCCAACAACACCAGTGCTCTCACCCAAACATCCCACGTACTTAGTCCACTTCACAGCACCTGCTGCAGCAGTTCGCTGCATGTATGCGCTAGGAGGAGGGTGCGACCTCGGTATTGAAGATGGGCCCAAGGGTGGTTTACGGCCTAGGCCTAGCTATTCTCAAAAAGAATCATCTGATGCTGGATTCGTGACTACGAGATTCATGCAGGGTTGCAGGTGGATGCGGCCCTGACATTTCATACCTTCCGCGAGGATCCTAACTATGTCACGGGCTGAAAGAACTCGCTCTTGCACCAAGGCTAAGGTGAAGTCCTGACATGAGTCCTACATTCTTCGCAGAGAGCCCTACCCTTGCAATAGCTCCTGCTTGGACATCCGAGACTGCGACAAGGGCCAAAGCTCATCCCGCCTGTGCACCTATTCCGAAAACCTACAGTAAGAAGCTGAACATGTGGATTTTGCACTCGGAACGGAAGACTTCCCGAGAGCGCGGCTGCACCTGGCTGAAGTCGTACTGGGAGTCATTCATCCCAGGTGGTATGCCATCCACACCTGGGCCCGCAGAAAACTTAGGCTTCACGGAGCTTGGCAGGAGTTCTGCTTCGGACAAAACGGCTTCGGCAGGAGACGATTACTCCCCTCTGCTCTCAACCCACCACCTCACGGCAACACTGATGCAAAGCATGTGCCCGGAATGAGAAACTCGGGATGTCGCGATAGCTGTAGTCGTTCATCAGCTCCTGGCGCTGCAGCCACACAACCCTCAGCCCAAATGAAATGCAGTTCCCTGCATTCACTCAAGCGTCTGAACTGCGTCGACCGTGCGATACCCAACGACATAAACATTTTAAGTGGACCTCCCCACCCAAACTCTCAGTAATCAACTGTCCAAACCGGACCCCCGCTCAGATCGCTCCATCCGTCGCTGTGAGACTACCATGTAACCACGGTGCCAGCTCAGGCAAATGACCCCACATCCAGAAGCACCCAGATGGCTTTCGAGAGCTGAAGCCAACATGAGAGGCCAGATGATATCCATCGAGCCCCACGAAAAGTTACGGGGACCGCCTTCTGCAGCAACTGCGAGGTTTCCGTGAACGACATCATGCTCGTGCCAGCCTGTGAATTCCCGCAAAT